CGATAACCCCTATAGCAAGTTTCAGCGAAAAAAATTTTTTGACCCATCTCACCCCCTCTGGGGTTGTAATAGTGCAATAGTGCCAAAAATTGAATACATGTCAAGTATTTCAAAATAGCTAGCAGTTCTTGCTGAGACCAGCACCGATTCATTGTTGCACTTGTAAACAAATACTTGAAATGCAACAGCAACTCAAAATAATGCCGGGGTCTCATCCTTCAAAGGAGGGGGGGGGCAGGCGTTGCGGCAGTTCATATTGCATGAATCATTCACTTTCTCGCACCTCGGGGATTTCCTCCCCTTGCAGAAATTGGAATTTCTGTAGCCGCCAAGAACTGTCGCAGCACATGCCCCCCGCCCGCTATTGGATGAGACCCTGATGGGCTATTCAAAGCATATTTAGGAAGGGGAAGGTCGTCTGAGGTAAACTCTACAGAATGTAGTAGAAATATGCTGTCACCTTACTTGCGTTCGTCGGGGAACGCAAGTAAGGTTAAGGCTTGGGATGCCTTGGTGCACACTTCAACGTAGGGGCGCGCTGTCCTATTCGTTCGGAGTGCTGGATGAGATAGTGTTCCGCTACACCCGAGGGCAGAGTCAACCCTGCGTTGCGCAGTTCGCAACGGCACGTTGAGAGATCCTCAACGCACGCTGTATGGGCGGAGACGCAGACGGCTCGAGCATGCGAGTGTGAATGTTCGCGCGAGAGAACGTGTCTAATCGGGCGAAACTGCGCAACGTGGCCGTTGAAAACTGCGCAACGCAGGGTTGACTCTGCCCGAGGGACACTATCGTCCGCAGCCTCCCGACACCGCTTTACCGCTGGACTCGATGGACGAGTACAAGCGTTGCCGTACTTCTGCACCCCCACCAGGAATTCAGATGTAAAACATCAATGAATTTAACGCCAATAAAGTGTGAGTCCAATGAATGTTGTGTTGTGTACAGGTATCGTGACAAGGGTACGCTTGGGGGAGCCAGGGCTGGGGTTCAACTAAGGTAGGCTATTATATTCTGCTGCTGTTATGGGATTACTGCCACTCGCTGTAGCCCATAAACCTCCCATTTCTGCATAAGGAACCCGCGAGGTCCGGGGTGGCGTGTGGGAAACTGCATTCTGACCCGTAGACGACGTGTGCCTGGCAAGGGCAACGACTGCCCCGAACTACCACCATGTGTCGTGTGGAGGGTTAGGAGGGCGAGCGCTTCCGAACCACAACAGGCCTCTGAATCGGTTGCACAAACTCAGAGACCATCATAACCCCCCAAGTTTGGCATCAGGTTAAAATTGCTGATTGGTGGTCGATTCTGATAACCAACCAGGCACCATGAAAACCGCGTCTGATGGGCACTCCATGAAAGCCTTGCGTTTCCAACAATAAGGACTGAAGCGTTAGTGCACTGACAGCTATCGTCAGTTCGGTAGCGCTGCTACCGTATCTCAAAAAGTGGCGTGAGCTGAAGTGTTATGCACACATCGTTCGGTTCCCTGCCGCACTCGACGATAACTTGATAGTGCACGCGTTCCTGGTAACGTTGCGGACGAAATATGCAAATTTACGGATTTCAATTCATTCGGAAATATGTCAGTGGGGAAGCCTAAGCGATTCCTACATTCTGATGGAAAATGTTAACAGGAAGGCTCTCTACGTCGCGTTGTAGGATCAGATTTTTTAGCAGATTTCAAAAATGTGCCATATTTGCAAGGAGGTCCACATTCTGATAAAAAGCACCTGTTAAATATTCTTCAACAACTTTGAAAATTACGCAACTTGTTCAGCCATCTTCAAGTTGCAATGTCAATTTTGTCTTTAACGTGAAACATCATCCACTATTTAACACTTGGCACTCATGTCCATGGGGTGGACATCCAAAACAGGGCATTCGAAACCCACTGGCTGGTGGCACTAGGGTTATGCTCAGGACATGGGAGAAACACCAGGGAGAGAAAAGTTGTTCACGTCCTCCCCCACAAATTGTGGGGGAGGACGTGATTGTGGGCCACAATCCGTCCCCCCCCCCTAAAGCTTAATCCCAGGTTTTGTAAGAACCAACATGACGTAACAGTGTGCCGTTGTATGTGAAAGAACTCATTTCGGTCATTCGGAAGGTATATTGTAGACTCCATGCTTGGTTTTATTTTCCCAGCAGTGGCCTTAAAGTTATCTAATTCCCTTGTCATATGATGGATTGCTGCACATGTGCAGCAAAGAGCAAAGGATAGAGCCAAGTCATAGCTCAGAAGAGCACTATCTTCTAGCGCAACATCTGTTTTCGTTCTTAGTGCCATACTTTGTACCAATTTCCTTCAATTGAACGCCTTTAGGTTCGCCGCTGGACGCAACATTTCGCTATCAAATCGCCTTCCGTAACGGTAGTATCAAGTCTGTGGAAATTCGACTCAAGTTAGGGCATAAAACTAATACTGCAACAACACTGTTAATACTACTCCGTCTTAGTTTCATAATAATGACCTAACCTTGCGTTCTGCTGAAGAATAGCTTTTGGACCCACAGAGCTGTCTCACTAATCAACAAATCGAGCCTTTAATGTAAGAAAAGGGTACTCCTCAGGCTGGGAAAGATTCCAGGCTTCTTTTATTATCTGCACCAACAGTTGTTGAAGTGTTCGCTCAACTCCACAGTTTATCAGCCACACAGACGAAACGCAGCGTACTAACAGTTGTATCCGACGTAAATTCTGGGGTAACTTTGTGTGCCCCATCTTCGTCCACGATTTTTCGGGTTACGGTACAAATTTTACCGCACTGAAGTCGGCTTGTAGTGAGCAGCGTTGGCTGAGCCGGTTCTAAATGGTATGGAGAAACAAGCTAGTGATCTTTTCCAAAGATGATGTGAAATGGAGTAGATCTATTGGGATATTATCCCAGTGACAGAGCGCGGGACTGAGTGCTCACCACACCCACCCCCTCCCCAACTTCTTTGCACCAAAGCTCTCAAGGATGATAGTGTTCGACAAAGTGGATTGGATCAGCTACGTATGTGATTAAGGACCATTAACGTATTTTGACTGACCTTGGCAATCGTGTGTGCATTTTCGTGCACATTAGTGCAAATTTGCGTCCTAACATTTGCAAGCGCTCGAGGCGCTCATTCAAGCCATGTTCAAGCTGTGGCTTGTCGAACGATCGATAATGGTCTTACGTGCCTGTTGTTTACTTATTGACGCGACTAGAGTATAGTTGCAGAGTTAGTTGAGCTGGAAACCTTGATTCTGTGACTCACGGATTAAGGTGACGCTAACTTTTGAGACCAAGTCTCGAGGTAGGAGGAACTTCGCGGCGCGCGCTGTTTCCATTTTCCTCGAAGTTCCTCCCCCTCTTACTTTCGGTGCTTGCCGTGACCCCAAAATCGAGGTGTCCAGCCTTACTAAAGCTGCGAATATGTAATAATAAAATGTAACACGTGTGGCGAGCCGGACTCTTGAATTGAAAAGGTTGCAGGGTTCAAAAACATTGAAAATGGATCTCTTTAACGACAAAAAACGCGAACAACGTAGAATCAGAGATAGTGAGTTCTCCAATATCATTCCATTGTGATGGTTCAAATTGTACACTTTAGATTTTCATATTACGCTTCTTTCCAGAAAAGCTGGAAATAGTGCTAAAATTTCGGCATTATTTCTCTTATATTACGGCCTCAAAATCTCGTAAGAACAGTCCCATCGGGATTTAGTTCAATAGGATAATTCAGCTTCCCGAAATACTGCGCGAAATGGGTGCAAAGTGGCTCTAGCCCTAAAAGTGACCATACCTATTCGTTTCAGGGCATCAAGTCGCTTCTATTGGCAAGGCTTGCCCTCTTTTTCTTAATTTTGGAGTTGCAGTAGGGTGTGGACAAGGAGCAGATTTCTCGCGTTTCGCAGCGCGAAACATTTTTCGCTGCGGGAACCTCAGGTCCACCGCTGATCATGAGTGGACCTGGAGTTCCCACAGCGAAAATGTTTCGCGCTGCGAAACGCGAAAATTCGTTCGCTGTCCTAGAGAACCACAGTCTTTTGATATGATACCGAAATATCTGTAGAAGTAGAGAGCAAAACTGTCTTCCTGATGGTAGGTCCGATTATCGATTGCATTGCAACGCGCTTGGGTAATCGACCGAGTTTTGCAAACCCTAAAAAAATGCTTACTATAAGAGTGATTTCATACAACTCCACTGGTTTCTTTTTCTTCAGGTATGTTCGCAATCCGTCATCCCGAAGTAGCTGAGGAAGGCCTCAGTTCATACCGTGATAGTCGTTTCAAGGTACTCTTTGCACATTTATCGATCGATCAGTTGTGTCAGCTAATGTTAAGATATCCCGAAATTTCTATGTATTTCATCCGGGGAATAGGGTATGTGATGTAACAGCACATATCGCCTTGAGTAATCCATTATTTTGCAAGGAAGTCCCGCGGTATGAAAGCGGAGGCGAAACGGTTTCGCACCCCACCCATCTTCCCAAGGATTCCAATAATTGGGATTGTAGGTGGCAGCATCTGTCGCACCGCTTTTCCGGGCAGTAGACCCGCAAACGGGTGGCATATTCCCCAGTATAAAGGTTTAGAACTAATTCTCAGAAGGGAGTAAGAACCCCCGGGTTCCTGAGCAATCTTCTTTTCTCCAGAGGGCCGTTCCTCCTTCTTCGTAGGCGTAGATCGAGCTGTTCACTAGGTAAATACTACCTTCCATAGGCTTTATGTGATAAAACACAAGTCACACACATTACATAGAAAAAACCAGAAGAAATAACGTAGGAATAAAGCTGATAGCAGCTCGTAACTTTAAAGGACTCCTTGAGCCAAGTTGGCATTAGAGCAGACTGTGCACGGCAATGCCTCTCCTACTGGAACAGACCTTATTCATTTATGCAAAGTTCCGAGGAACCATTAGAGCGCTTCTTTCTACTTCCTTTTTTAGGTGGCAGAGGTGAGGGAGGGCAACTCGCAACAAGTATTTTACTTTATAGCTTGCGTTTCGAACATGCTCGCATGTTGCATCATGCATGCATCGGCCCCTCCAACTAAAGATATGAGCGTTTCCATTCCTACTGTATTTCTGAGGATAATTTTTAAGGGTACAGAGAAGGAATTTGAAGAAGCTCTCCGTAGGTCGACCACAGTGTATGTTGGAAATTTGTCGTTTTACACTTCCGAGGACCAGGTTGTTGTTCATTTTCATATAGACCTAATCTAGCACCAATAGTTAGCCTCATGCACGTTTCTAGCTATATGAACTGTTTATGCGTGCTGGAGACGTTAGGCGTGTGATAATGGGTCTTGACCGTTTCAAGAAAACACCGTGTGGATTTTGCTTTGTCGTGTGAGTGGTTTTTTACTTCTTACGAGATATTCACCGAAATAATTGCATTTGGTGCAATTTTATTTCCTGTCTCCTTTTGACTCCATTTAGGACGTGCACGGCTACCGCGACTGGTGGTCGCGAGTAACCCGCCAACCGCGGGCGTGCAATGATTGCCGCTTATCAGCACGCTGGAAACGAATTTATTTCGAGTAATAATGCTTGTTAAGTTACTATACGCGCGATGAGGCGGAGAATGCTGTACGTTTCCTGAATCGTACAATCCTAGATGGTAGAACAATTAGAGTGGATTTCGACACAGGTTTCGTGGAAGGACGCCAGTATGGTCGTGGAAAGCACGGTGGACAGGTAATTTTCTAAGTACTCTACTCTTTGAAAATAATTTCAAGTTGATGGCAGGTGCGTGATGAGTATCGCGAGAACTTCGATCGCGGTCGTGGTGGATACGGACGAGACAGGAAGGAAAGAGAGGATAGCGACGATTGAACTTCGCTTTCCAGGGCAGAGCAGCCACAGAAAATCTATGCCTGTAAATGGAAAATTGGAACGTTTTCGTTGCGGTGCTAAAATGTTAAAATGTGGTATCACATTCCTTGTATTGTTTTTGTGACCCTTGTGACTCTTGGGTTTTTCTCAACAGGTGGTTGAGTTGTTCTTCCTGTAAAAATGAAATTTTATTTGAATGTTGAGTACAGCTGAAGAACTTATTTTGATGAGAACCGAATGTGATGGCAAAATCGCTTTCGATTGAATGGAGCTGCCACTCCTCCAAAGGACACAGTGCTTTCAAGTTGGATAGAAAATTACCTAAACGAGTGCGTTTTCCATGACATGGATGGATTCGTAATTGTTGGAAGAAGATGTCGTGGGTGTATTGATTCAGGAGCTTTCGCTAGACTGTAACCACGTTTTGCCTTTCGCTTCACTAGAATTCAGCTGCCCGCATTCTCTGTCGTTTTTAACACATTCACGCCGATGGCCGCCCATATGGGCTGCCAACAACATGCGCTCCTGGGACGATGGCAGCCCATATGGGCTGCCAACTGATAATCGCTTGCCAGGCGCTAGGAATGGACAGATAGGTGGGCAAACCTCGTAATCGAGTGTAAAATGCTTTTAAATTCCTTCACGGGGAAAGTGAATAAATGCTCTCTTTTCGTAACCACTATTTGTCGTTCTGATCGAAATCCTACTGTTATATGTTTAGATAATCTTTACGCATTGGACATTGCAGAAATTATTTTGTGACATTCATGTTTTTGTTCATTTACAAAACAAAATCTGCGGTTATGTGGTGAGGCGGCGGCGCCCACAAAATCGCGTCCGTCCCACGCGACCGAAAAGTGGAAAAGGGGCGTCGTCGTGAATTCAGGACAGCGGTATTTTTTTTTGTGGTTCGCGATCTCTTCGATGAACGGTTTACTTATAAAATACGTCAGATTGTTCTTCAGCTTCAAGGCAGCAGGTGTTCTGACTGCGTTGGCCCTCATTTGAAACCGGGGCTCTATATGGTTCAAGAGCGGTTTTCGGTATTTTCCCTTCGTTTTATGTAACCCTACGAATGTGAAGACCTTCTCGTTCCAAATTCTATTTCTCGGGGTTTCTTGAATACATCGGAATCATAGGTAAAGTATTGTTTTCTGATATTCCTGTCAGCCTGTGATTCAAACTAATTTCCATATTTTCCAAAATTTACAAAGCTTCCACCGGTAAACTTTTACCAAAAGCCTCGCGAACATCTCAGGGACGACGCTATGAATCAGACCTGAGGGGGAGGAGCGTTGTAGTATAGTAGATGCGGGTGCATATTCGGAACATACGGAAAACGAGTTCCTCTAAATTTGTGTAAAATTTACGTACCTCGTGCTCTGATTGAACTCTGTGATAACGGCGCTACTGATACCATCAACCAGCGTACGAGGTGTAGGGGAACGAAGCGGGTTGCATGAAAGTGTTGAAAGCTCATAATTTCGAAATTGTGCCTACGCCACATTTGCCTCTACGTGCAGATTTCCTGTTTCAACGACCTTCAATAGCTTTTAGCATTTGAGAGGAGTCGGGAGCATAAGGGTATCTAGAGTTTGGGGCTCCACAATTTGTTCACACATTGGGGCGTGGCCGTGGCGGCGGCGCGGCCGAAGCGGTGTTGCCGGCGAACTGTGCGGGCGAATTTCACAACGCACTAAAGGCGTCCGTTAAATGTCCTAATGAAGCGTTTTCAAATTTATCTACACATCGCCGGCACTACGACTGCGCCGCGCTCGCCGCGGCCACGTCTCCATTTGTGAACAAAGTGCGGAGCCGGGGCTGGACATAGTGTACAACCTGTGTGACCTCAGAACGATTGATAACATTATTATTAACATGTTGCAGAACCTCCTCCGAAAGAACTTGTTTTGAACATTTTTTTTATCCACAATGTCAACACACAAATTCGTGTTCTACAGCCGTCCATATCCCGGTCCAGTTCGTGGAGGAGGGCAATGGTCACAAGAGCCGGGCTGTCCTGGCGGTCCTCGAGGTCCGGGCGGTCCATGAGGTCCAGGCAATCCGTCGGCTCCCTATATAAATCATTTCGTGACAGCTGTCTTTAGATATAAACGAGCATGCTGTCTTTAGATAAAATAACGGGCGACTACTGAAAGCGAAACTCCACCTTCTCTCCAGGATCACCAGGTGGGCCAGGTGGCCCTGGTCTTCCAGCTTGGCCATCCTTTCCTGGTGGCCCTGGCGGTCCTTGTGGTCCAGGTGGGCCTGGTGGTCCAGGAGGCCCTGGTGGAGCACCGTTGATAACTTTTCCAGGTTCACCTGGTGGTCCCTTTTCTCCCGGAATACCGGGAGGTCCTTGTGGGCCTGCTGGACCAGGAGGCCCAGGAAGTCCAGGGATTCCATCATGTCCTGGAGTGCCAGGATCTCCTTGCGGTCCTGGGAGGCCTTTCGGTCCAGGTGGTCCTAAAATGAAGAGAAGGAATGTAATAATCATAACGAACACTTATGTGGCATCTTCTAGAAATCACAATAACACTCACCAGGAGGTCCTGGTGGTCCGGGTGGACATTTTTGGCATGGAGGTTTCGGTGGTGGCCCTGGTAGAAGAGAACCATCTCGGCCCGGTGGGCCAGGATTTCCAGGTCTTCCAGGAGCTCCTGGTCGTCCATCTCGTCCAGGAGGACCGGGAGGCCCAGGAGGGCCAACCTGAACAGGATTTCTGGTGAAGATGGAAGTTCAAGCATAAATAACAGAGTATGATAGCTAAGCAGTACTTGGCATGTGCAGCACGATCCAGCTGCTGATGATGGATTCGAGTGAGCAGCGTCTACCGGCTGGGCCTCGTAAGCCTCTCGCTTGGCACGAGGGTTCACCTTACCAGTTGAGGTAAACTGTACAGTCACCATTTCACGCCACATTTCTCTAGAGCGAGTCTGAAAAAGTGGGCCATCACTCGATAGTTATGTCGCCGAGAGGAATTATGAAGTAAATATGGTAACCAGTTCTCACCTTACAAAAGTCGACTTCATTTTGCATATACGATTGAATGGACTGTACATGATTGTAAACGAGTGGAAGACTGATGATGCAGGACAGAACACTGACGGTGGCCAACGCCACAGAAGCGAAGGCCAGCGGACGGAGAGATTTCCGTCCCTCACAACCCTGTTCCATTCTGTAATGAAGTGATGATCGACTGAAGTCAATGTTCGGAATGAAACGGATGAATGTGAAGATGAAAATGAAACAACCAAGTATGGAAACATGGCAATTATCGAGTAACGGATGCAATGAGGGGCGCACCCCGTTGAGAAGGGGAGGTGTTCGCGTCGACGTCGCAATGATATGATCGCTCTTATATCGCCACTCTCTCTTCACTATCGCACTTGACCTAAATCGAATCTTTAACCTACATATGTACGTTTTCAATCCGGTCGCCGAAAAAACTCACTGAATACATTACAAGTGCAAACACATTCGTCGCAAGACAGTGAATTATCTTCTTGAAGCGAATACTTCGAACCCAAAGCAACAGCCCCAGATTGGATTGGTGAGGTAGCAGCGGTTAATAATGATGGCGAGGAAAGGACGTGTCTGGACGTGTTTTTGAACATGAACGCATCAATGCGATGAATCTATCATATCTATCTACCTATCGGCTATCTTATCCGTTACGTCGTAATCCACGGGTGCTGCTAGGAGGTGCGAGGTATCTCGTCAATAAGTTCACATTAGCAGCCTTCATATCACTTTTTAAGGTCCTAGCGCCTCTATCGCCCACTTTCTAGCCACAGTAACTGCACATGTGTGATACTCGTGGTTTACTCTATCTCTTGTGTCCCATTCAACCAAGCCCATCCGGTGTTGTTGTCTTAAATATGTAGCTGAGTCAAGCAACAAAAGGTTCGGTCTCGATGTAAGTTAGAAGGGTAGGGGCAGTCTGTAACAGGCTCAGTCGCCCTTTGCGAAACGATCAACGAGGGGATCGTATTTGGCTACTGGAAGGGGGGGGGGCGAGGCTCAAGTACCAGTCACAAAATTTGAAGGTATCAAGGCATGGCAAAGTGGCAAGGGAGTACAGACTTTCAATCCACCACTGCGACTACTGATCACAGAGGATTGGATGGCGCATCTCAGAACCGGAGATCTTTTGATCACTCCATATTCCAGTGAGCACGATCAAACAAAATCTCTCGAACAACAATATGCTTTGAGACCAAATTAATGTGGAGGAAAATGCAGAAATTCGGCGGATTGACTTCTAGATTCTCAAAGGCAAACCCGGGATTAGCCCGACTAGTAGGAAGGATACCGCGAGGGAAATTGTAAGACCCGTACCTACCTAGATCACTTCAACTTGGTCGCGAAAATGCGCGGTTAGGGCGCTAATCCTTACGGGCCTCCAACCATCGAACGCTTCCCACCCACCGCGAGATGTGGTGAGATCAGCGTGCATTGATGTAGAGATCAGTGCTCTCTCAAACGACGTTCTCTCTCGCGTGTTTTGTCCTCTTTGATCGCCCTGTCTCGCCATCGTACCACATCCGACCTTATTGAAGGTTAAGGCCTTAATTTCAGCGTTCCCAAAGATTTCTCGCTTTCCTCTCCACTTTCAGGTCGTTCCGCAGCTAAGCTATCACTGCGAAGCGCTCTTAGCACCAGTTTAATTCCGGAGTTTGCCTTTAGTGGAAAATTCAGGCAGATAGGGCTTCTATTCTATTTCGAAGCTTTCCAGGACAATTTAGCATATGCTATGAAGCACTGGTCTTGTAGATTTCAAAGATTTTTACCGGTTTTTATTATACCAATTTCGAAAAACCTTATAGGCGTTTGAAGGATGAAACTCGCGTTTCGTGATGGCAAAAAAATACAGAGGTAAAAATGGAACAACGGAACCATTTTTTGAAACAGTGGTGCTCCAGAAGCGTTTCAGTATTTGTTCTAAAGTTTCGTGCTTCTAGCTTCTAGTTAGCCTTGTAGATCTACAAAAACTTGATTATAACGGAAGTTATGGACGTTTAATGATGAAAACTTACATGCTCTCACAATCGGATCACAAATCCCCGAAAAGCGCCACAACAGGGGAATGATTCTTGGACAAGATCTGGTGCTTTTCAAAAGCTCAATTTTTTAAGATCTGCAAAAATTTGATTACGGAGGAAGTTATGAACGTTCGAATGTTGAAAACTCGATACACAAAAATGGAACGACGAGACGAAGAATTGAACTTTTATGAGGGACTGACCATTTGCAAAAGTTATGTACTTACTTAATGCTTAAATTAATAATTTAAGTTTGATACTTCTTGAGAAGTAAACAAGTTGAACTTACGAAATTTTCGTATCCTATCTCATAAGAACACATTTGGAGAAAGACAACCATTTAAATGGTTGGTAACTACGTCGATGTATGAACCGTTCAGTTTTTTCTTTATGAAAAAGGAAAAATTCGGTAGTCTGGTGAAAGTAGAATTATTCGCGATAACAAACTTACCTATGTTCATATGAAATGTTAGAATGTAGTGTAGGATGGATTCGT